TTTAGAAAAGCCTGGAAGTTGAAGAGAAAACGATTAGGAAAAATTCAATATTCTATCTTTTCTTGTTTGCAATTTAATTAGTAAGCTCGAAGAAGCATATGTTTTTCTCATAGTATAGGAAAATGTATCTTTTTATTTTTGCGATGTAATGGATTTGATACGTAATGTATATTTGGCTTAAATTTGTTGAGAAGTTGGCTTGAAATTTTTGATATTATATGTGTTGATGGTGCAAAACTACATCAGATTTGTACTAGAACGAATAACACTAAAATTTTAGTAAACTTTTACCAAAACCGCAGCAGAGCACCAACAATGTGTCAAAATTGCTCCAAAAGTTCATCAAAATAACATTAGAATTGCACCTAAATAGTACTGACAATGAACCAAAATAGCTGGACGAAATTCACACTAATACAGCACTATGGTTGCACCAACATAGCAGCAGAAAAGATCCAAAATTACACCAGAAAAGTATCAAAACAACATTTGAATTACACCAAAACAGCAGCATCACAATAGCCTCTAAATCAGCATTAAACTTGCATCAACACCACCACCAGAAAGCACTACAATTGCACCAAAAACAGCAACAGAAAATCACCGTAACAACAGCAAAACAGCTCCAAAACTGCACGAGAAAAGCTCCAAAAACAGACTCTAAAATTGCACCAAAATAGCATCACCATATTCGCACTAAAACAACACAAAAATTGCACCAAACAGCACCAGATTAGCGCAAAAACTACACCAAAAAAGAAAAGAAACTGAAAAACAATAGCAAAGTATAATTTAAACATGAAAAGCACACAATGATCCATTTTTTTACCCAAAAAAGTTGTATTTTCTTATAATGTAACTCCACTTTGTTGGGTTTGTTGTGAATTTTCCCAAGAAGAATTCAATTTTTCTCCTTGTCCTAGTTCTCTCAGTTTCATATTTTCTTGTTGAACTTTCGAACAGCTCCGTCTAACCTGAAAGCACAATATATATAAATATTTATATATACTTTATATTAGCTAAAGATAATTAAATGAAGAAATAATTCAAAAATGATGTTAAAAGATAGTACATATAGTTTATCACGAACAAAAAAAGTAGTTTCAGGTTGCACATCTTTAGTTTTGCAAGTCCTTTTGTTGTGACCAGACTTGTGGCAAGTACTACAATTTAGAGATTTTTGTTTCCTTTTCATCGTTGTTCGACTTGCTCCTACTTCATTAGCTTCTTTTCTTCTCTTCTTCTGCTTTCTTCCTCTCTTTGTACTTGTCAAACTCCTTGGAGGCAACGGAGGAAGTTTGTTAGATTTTGGCTACATTTGCGGGCCATTCATCGGAAAAATTGCATTCTCATATATTTTTCGATATGTTTCTACCTTGTAGGAATCATGAACATAATCAAGAGTGTCTTCTCGATTTGCCCAAATAGCTGCAATTGTGTGCTTGCAAGGGATTCCAGTGAGACTCCATTTTCTACAACTACTTGTTCTCTTCTCCAAGTCCACTGCCCAATTATCCATGATACTAGCCCCTATAATTTCACAGTTCCAGGAATATATTCTCCGGCTGCCTTTTAATTTTTAAGCAATATATCTTTAATCTTGGGACAAACATCACCTAGATTCCATTGTTCTGCTTTCTCCCTGTTAGCTAGCATTCTAGCCATGAGTAGATATCTCAATTTCTCCAAAAGTGTCAAAATTGACTTGTCTCTAGCATCAAGTATCATGATATTGTATACTTCACACACGTTATTCAACAACATGTCAGATTTAGCATCTGAGGAGAAATTAGCCATTGTCCATTGACTAGGTTCTTTTTCATTACACCAAGCAGCATCATTTGGATCTAACTCAAACATATGATTCATGCATACAATAAATTGTTGCACAGTAGTAGCCTTTGCAGCAGCCCAGAGTGCTTTTTTTAATGAGAAGTTACCAAAACCTGCCTCTTTAAAGTTGTTATAAAGGTGTCTCACACAAAATCTATGACTAACATATGGTAAAATATCATTAAAAGCTTCAATGAGACCTTTTTGTTTGTCGGACATAACGGTCCAACTAGTCTCATCCTCATGTATATCCAAATCGCTAACCAAATAAGTCAAGAACCAAGTCCATGTCTCTTTATTTTCTTTCTCAACAATGGCGTGGGAAATGAGAAATATATTATTGTTACCATCAATTCCAACTGCAGATAACAATTGTGTTCCGTACATTGGACCCTTCAACCAAGAACCGTCCACTCCTATTATTTTTCTACAACCAGCCTTGAAACCGAACTTGCAAGCAGCAAAACAAATGTATATTCTCTGAAATCTGTATGGTTGTCCAGGAACCTCATTATCAGTGAACTTCATACGAATAGTACTTCCTGGATTTGTCCAATCCATTTCATTGCAATAGTCCTACATCATTTTGAATTAATCCTTGATATCACCATCGAGAAGCGAAATGGCCTTCTTCTTTGCTCTTTTAACTTGTGATAAAGTCACTTTAGCTCTTAGATCAACACTCACTCTATCTCTAAAATCAACCAAACTACTATTTCTATTTGATCCAATTTCATTCAGGTATTTTCTCGCAATGAATGATGATGTGATTGTTCTATTTTCATAGTGCCACTCTTTGCAAGTATGTGTAGGATTGTATGTTTTTATCTGGAAAGATTTGTCCCATTGCATTTTGGATGCCATAATTTTCCATTTGCACTCTTTATGTATACATTTTGCCTTGATTCTTTCTTTGTCATTCTTGTTCCACTTGATATACTTTTCTTTTTTTATCTCATGTGTTGCTACAACATCCTTGAACTCTCTTTTGCTTCCAAACGTCAACTCTAGAGCTAATATGGGATTATCTCCATCAATTTTTGGATTAAATTAAGGATAATTGTAGCTCTCAGTTTCAGAATCACTATTCAAACTTCTTGTGTCACTAGAATCACAACAATCAGAATCTCTCTCTATAGCTGCCATCTTTTTCTTTACTTCAACACTAAGAGGCTCTATTTCACCCAAAATACTCTGTTTTGTCTTTTCATGGCCATTGACTAACTCGTCGTCAAATAAATCAGCCTCTAAATTACAAAAATCATCACCAGATGAATTTTCATGTGTAAGTTGTTCCTTATCACCATCTTCAATGGTTTCTTGATATGGTATAATCCCATTGTCCATTTTAAAATAAGAGTCCAAGTGCTCGAAGTAAATCTCATTCACATCCTCTTTTCGAAGACTTTTGCTAACTGCATAGGCTTCAAAATCAGTAGAAATCAATCTCCATCTTCTATCATACTTTCCACACTTGTACCAAAAGGTTATTGAATCAGATACATACCCACAAATCTCCACCATCATTTTAAACTCCTGAAGATTCAACGTGTTCACATTAATGTAATCAATATAGTCTATGCTGCCATTTATGTAATGTTTGTCTGGAATACGTCTCATGACACCCCCATGATATATTTTTATACTAACAAATGAATCTTCGAGTACTGGATCTGAAATAAAAAAAACAAGCATATATTACATAAGGTGTTGTAGTTTACAAAAGTATAAAACAAACTAACGAATGAAAAATGCTTCAACTTAATAATCAAATATAATATTGTTGCATCCAAAATAAAGAAATTTAATGCTCGTAATTATATAAACAGAAAATAGTACATCAAATAAGAGATCTTGGGAATTTGATTTTTACTTTTTTAAAAATTATAATCGATAAATTTGTTCAAGTAAAATCATTATCTTAAACTTGAAGGTTCTCCAATAGATATATAATGATGATTTTTGGGGTCGCCTTAATAATTCACGAAGTTGGAGCTACTGAAGAATGCATCACTGATCACAGTGATATCAGTGTGCGCTAGCTTTGTGAACTATGACACTACAGATTCCATTACAGGTGCACCATCTTGTGTTGCTATAACGACCCTTAGCAACGTAGCTAGCTCCATGCCTTCACCGGCATTGAGATTCGATAGTTCGTTTGCAGATGCAGGAGGATCTTATTACTTCTTACAACCCAAATTCTATTGCCATTGCCACTCTGGCTTATTTCTGTAGTGTTTTGTTTTTTGTTTCACCATTGATCCTAATACTATTTGTGAATAGTAATACTATCATGAGTTTCTTACCACTTAAGACTTTGTAGTTTCTTTTTTGAATCTAACCATTCAATATCTTAATCTCTAGATTCATGATCAATAACAGGGTTAAATTGTATTCTACAAAAAAAAAAAATTATCGAGACATCAGGTTAAAGATCGAAAGAATTGAACCATTCCCCATAGTTTTTAATGGTATATAGTTTCAGTTGAACGTCTGATCAAGCTTTTCTTTTATTTTTACAACATCTCATGAAAAAAATTGTGACTAGAAAGTGATGCAAAAGAACAAACACTTACTTTAACTCCAATCATGAAGAGCAACCGTACTAGAGCAATGATATACTAATCAACCTACCACGTTTTTGTTTCAAATGTAGAATAGATAATTCTCAAAAGCAATAAAAATGATCTAGAGATGAAAAAAATTATCACCATAAGTAGGAGTTGATTATCTATCATTGTTGTGCCTTAACAACATAGTTGCTTCACAAAATGGATCAACATTTTAATGAAATTCAGAACAAAATTGAGATTATAGGGTTTGATTTGAAGCAAAAAGGGAAGAGAAGTCTGGTTTAACAAGGAAAACGAAGAGACAAGGAAAAGTGAGTTTTGGCGGGAAACCTTTCTCACGTGTAAAAAGAGAAGCACCGTTCAGATTTTTGACGGCTATTTGCAAGAGTATCAAAAGTGTACCAATTGTTAAAACATGGAAAACTATTTGTGCTCGATATTAAAACACAAGGGTTACTTTGATCTTTTACTCAAACATAAAGGACAATTTTAATCCTTTACTCTATTTTGATTCTAGTGTAGAACAAAAGACAAGTCTCACGTAAAAAGGGAGGATGAAGCCAAACATGACCCGAAAACCCGATTTGAACCTAACCGGTTGATTTCCTCTTCCACAAGACATCAGCTGCGACCAAACAAGATCTATATATAAATCTATCTATGGCAATGCAATGATCCAAAAGAGAAAGTTTGATTGAATTAAGCAAAAGCAATAATGGAGGAAGAATTAAAGCAGAAGATTCAAGAATTACAGAAGCAATTAGGGAAGAAACAAATGTTTGAGGAAGCTGTATCCTCCATTAAATCGCTTCTTCTTCAACACTATCCTTCTGCTTCACCATCTCTTCGTAATTCGGTAACTTACCTTTTCTGGGTTTTCCTTTTTATTACTCATTTATGTATTAGGCACTTGTTCTTTCCCCTCCAAGTTTCTTTTTTTCATGGTTTTTGGTTTACCCAGCTAATGAATTCCTCCAAAAGAAACACAGAAAATGAGGGGAAAAAGGAGAAATGTTGATTCATCGTTTTCTTTTTGGATTTTCGCTTCTGTTACTGGGAATTTTCATTAATTAATTTCGTTTTTTGAGTATACATAAGTTTGGATAGCTGTAAAAAAGTAAACTTGGTGCGAGTTAAACTTCTCAGAGCTGAATTTTTGAGAAATGCGAATAGTTTGCTTTGAAAATAAATGAGATAATTGAGGAAATGTGTATGTCATAACAAATTAAGTAATTGATTGTGTACATGGGCCTTCTCGGAGCTGAATTATTGAGAATAGTTTGGTTGAGGAACTGGAATATATGCCATAACAAATTAAGCACGTAATTGATTATACACTTGGAACCAAGCAGGGGGAGCCAAGTGAGTGGAAGGGGTTTCATCGAAACCCCCTTCAGCGAAAAAACTGCACTATATATATAGATTTAAAATAACTTTTTATGTATGTATAGTAGATGACTAGATGTTGAATTCTCTTGGATTCTTTGTGCTGTTACTTTTTTATATTTTGCAATACCTTAGTAAAAATCTTGGTTCCGCCTAACCTATGTATAGTAGATGACTAGATGTTGAATTCTCTTGGATTCTTCGTGCTGTTACTTTTTTATATTTTGCAATACCTTAGTAAAAATCTTGGTTCCGCCTAACCAAGCCTTGTTTTATGGAATGTGAAGTACCTTTTTCTAGTGTTTGGTTGGACATAAACTTGGTCGAATGTAATATTAGCTTTTGCCTGGATGGGGGAGTGTTGATTGTTGATACCTGATGACTTTATAATTAGCAAATAGTAGAAACAAGGTTTACATGGTGATATGGAGCAGGATTGGAATGAAGAATAGTAGGTGCTAATGTGAGTTGTTTTTCTCAAATTAATGTTAAATGGTTTTGCTTCAACAGCTTAGTAATCAAACATTAGAAAGTGATATCACTTAGGAGGTTCTTTTTATGGAAAAAATTTATGGACCCTTGTTGATTTTAGTCTTGTCTTTTAATTACAAAAACGAGATAGCTTATCTACAAAGACTATTCTATGCTTTTTATACTGTCCAATCGATTAAGCTAGCTCGTATACGTAACTATGATGCAGAGCCATTTTGTTGTTTTTATGCTGAGTGCGAATTTCACAATAAGAGGGGCTTTTTTCTTTCTAACTATTAGATAGTTTAGTTCCCAAAAAATATCACCATGAAGAAATTAAACAATTGATCTTTTTGAAAAGAGAACTCAAAATAGGCCAATGCACGAAAGGGAACTAGTCCATATATTCAGATAAGAGTGTAGTGAAAAATGACCAGCATATTGCTATATTTTAGGGAGATCCTCATTTATAGGTGTTAAATTAGGTCTTAGGCCTAACTCACACCCCTCCAAGCCTTATAAGGAGTGGCTTGTATTCCTTCTGAAAAACATTTACTAAGAAAGTGGTTTAGCATAGGCTGGTTAGTAGCTGCTCTATCTCTGCGCCTGGTTCTTTTGTTAAGCACTTTTTCACCCATTATTCTCTTTTGAGAGAGAGTTTACAGCAATAGATGTTGATAACTGATTATTTAACCCCATATGCTCTTACTCTTAATTTGTTTTTAGTCACAAGTAAATGATTCTTGGAATATGTCTGCTAATGTTATGAAGAATATAGCTTCTTCATTTTGTCCGTAATATTCGTCGAATATCCATGCTAGCATATTTTAGGGGAAAAGCTTTAATCACCTTTACCTCACCTCAAAGCCTTCAGGTGGAAGGGAGATTCAATTATGCAAAATGTCATTTCTGTCATGTTATATGGTAACTAGTGAATGACATTAGCATGCCCAAAGTCATCTCATTGTATATGATTTAGTTTGCTTTATATCTGTGTAAGTCTTTTTCTCATCACAAACTGGAGATGATGATTTGATAAAGGAACTGCACATGAGAATTGACAAGGCAGTATTAAGTCGTCGTTAAGAGCCGTTACTTGCCTAAGACTTGTCAAAAAATGTTAAAAAGATTTTCACAAGTACTTTTACTTGCATAAGAAGTTCTATTACCACTGAATAAATCTGAGTGATTCCAAATGCTTGCAGTTCTATATGGTTGTATGTCGGGTTGCCACCATTTTAAAGACAAGATACACAATGCCTGGATTTTGGAATGCTGGGCTTGGGCTATTCATTGAGGCTGAGCACCTGGTGTCAGGGTCGGCTGAGAAGAAACATTTGCAGAGTTGCATTACTCAGGCACGAGAGCAGTTAGCTGAAGTACAGAATGAATCTGAGAATACAATATCGACAGAAAATGGCTCAACTAGAAGTACTCATATGACCTCTTTATGATTATTTTTTTTAATACATCGGCCATGGGCCCCTTATTGCTACAAGTATACCAACAAAATTGTTGCATGTTTTTTATATTTATCCTATTATTTTGGTTCAGGATTCCTTTTTGAGGGGCATCTTACTGTTGACCCAGAGCCTGAGCAGCCTGCTTGGCTCGAGCAGTCTCATCTTCTCACTGCTGCTGCAGCACTTCTTGGTGGTGAATCCCCTCAAGGTGATCCAGCCAATGTTAACGATACGGAAGGTGCTAGCAATATACTCAGGCAGTTGGTTGCTAGACTAAATAATATAATACCAGAGGTATCTCTAGTTTTACTCTTTTCCTCGCATTAAGCACAACTGTTGTAGCCTGTAGTTTCAGTCAGTTGAGAAGCAATATGTCAAGGGTGTCATTTGTAGTTCCTAACCTGCAAGTTACTGCATTCTCACATGCCCTCCTCTAAAAAAAATTGAGTTAAACAATGAATTTTATCCACGCTTGTTTTATTTTTCAGTTGCTAACCACTTGTTTAATACATACATAACTATCTGGGGAAAAAGATTCTTGAATGGAAAATTTTATTTAACACTAGTCTAGACCAAGCTTTACCATGGAGGTATGCTCTTCTTTATTTAAATAAAAAAGAAAAACTTCTTATAGGGGAATTAGATGCATTTGTACTAAGGCCTAAACAATTTAGCTTGACCTAAAGACGTTTCTAATTTGTTCTATTTAAGATTCTGGACGACGGTCCTTCTGCCCCGAGACCACCACCTGCCAGTAAACAAGTTGTGGCAAACCTCCCAGTTACAACTGTCACAGATGAGTTGTTGACGAAGCTTGGTACAGATGCGGAGTGTGCAATTTGCAGGGAGGAGTTAGTTGTAGATGACAAGATGCAAGAGTTGCCCTGCAAGCATATGTTTCACCCTCCTTGCCTGAAGCCATGGCTGGTATGAAAGTGAAACTTTCCTCTACTTATCGTGTTTTTGCCATTGTGATTTAATTTGCCCCAATTTCATTGTGTTCCATACAATAACAACTTCTAAGTCTTTGGACATTCTCACTGTACGTTTAACAGGATGAGCACAACTCTTGTCCAATTTGTCGGCAAGAATTGCTCACAGATGATCATCACTATGAAAGCTGGAAGGAGCGAGAAAAAGAGGCGGAGGAAGATAGGAAAGGGGCAGCTAATGCAGTTCGTGAGGGTGAATACATGTATGTATAATGCACAATACTCAAATGAATCGAAACTTCTGCTTGTCTACTTTTGCAGACAATTTGGGCCGTGGCGGAGGAGATTACCAAATTTCTTTTATATATTTGAGTGTATAAATGTACAATAAAACTCTCTTTGGATTTGTAATATGTATCAAAACTTTGCTGCTTTTGAATTACTAATCTGGGGTGCTTAAGCATTCAAGAGCAAGCCATATATATGGATTATACAAATAATGATTTTTCCGGATAATGAAGTACTTTGAGGCTAAAATTAAAGGGGTTCAACGCCTATTATAATATACATAAAAATAATAATTTTAATTATCTCTAAACAATAGAATTTTCATTTAAGGGGATTTGAATGACTTCTATTGGTCCAACTTGGCTCCACCCCTGAAGTAGTGACATACCAAGGGGATCATAAACATTTCATTTACCAGAATATTGATACTTTGTGTCTTTCCTTTTTTATTTATATAGATCTTTTGGTCAAACATAGTTAAGCGAAAATTTATATAGCCGATTTTAATTTGTTCAGGACTTTGCGATGGTATTGTATATTTTGTTGGTCATACTTTGACGTCTGGATTTGGTCTTGGCATAGTTATTTGGAAATATTTATGAGAAATACTTGTGTTTTGTGTGATACGTGTGTAAATAAATATTTATTTGTGCGTGATGTTTACGTTAAGCTAAGCAAATTATTGTATATGTTCTTGAGAGTTCGATTATAGTTAGAAGGTACTTATAGCTTTTCTTCGTTACATACAATTGTACTTTAATTTGTTCCTTGTCCCTTGATGATTAATAGAAGTTACTTATTATTTTGTAGAGAAGTAGTTCTGGTTGAATTTTGGAATTTAAAACTAAACCCAATTGGGGTACTGGACGTAAAAGTAACATCACGAGTTCATTCAGAATTTCAGATCAGTAATTTTGTGCTAAAAAAACTCACCAAATAAGTACTAGAAATAAATAAAGTTAAATAGTAGGTAAAAGTATTTTACGTGTCATAATACATGTAGGATGCTTATAGGATGTGAATTGTCATGTAGAATGTGCGTGTCTACTTGTTCAACTATATACAAATTTAAATGTCTACAAAATTGAAAGACATAAATGACATATAAGGTCAAGTCAAAAGACACATTTAATATATTATACCAAGTTATAATAGAATGATCCAATAGAGACCAAAAAACTATTAGGTAATTTAATCTTATCATTAGTTATAGTCATTTTTCAAGATATTGTATTTATTATATTTAAAGGGTGATATAGTAAATCAACCTGATTGAGTAACATTTTTGCTTATATCGAAAGTGGATACCATGATTGTGTTGTCTATCAATAATCACATACATTGCACGGTGGATATGGATATGAAGAAGTAGATCATTATCTCGGCATGATGAGTCAAGCTTGTATTGTGGTGAGAAGTGGAATTTTATTTTTTATTTCATAAATGGACATTGCTAGATCATATATAGAGTTACCTAGTACTCCATTCTATAAAAAAAAAAAGCATTCTTAAACTATACCCTTAACTTAAACTATATTCTTAAAAAATTTCTTAACATAAAACATCCCTCAATTATTTAAAATTTGACAACTTTCATTCTTTTGTTAAAATTTGTCAAAAACTAACAAATTATTCACAACATGTACGGTGCACACTACTCTCAACAAATTAAACTCCCTAAATCACCCCAATAAACCAATTTTGTTCATTCGACATACATCTAAAATAATATTATAAATTTTTTTAGTAACAACATTTTGCATTGTCTTCCTTTAATTAGCAATTTTATTTTTATTTATTTTTCATTTGATTTGATATCAAAGAATTATCAATGGAAATGGTTTTTTTCATTTAATCTGCAAAAAGTGGTGTTGATCGAAGACTTTTACTTCTAATAATGGAAAACGAAACTTGAGTACTAGAGATCAAAATTAGCTGAATCTTGATCACTTCAATTATTAATTTGCCCCAAAAAATTATTGATCTAACGACATTTTGACTTTGCAAGGTGAAGATGGTGTGAAATTAAGCTTCAACTTCATTTAGTTGGTAAAGGAGAAGTAAAGATCATATCTCCTCGTAGACTCACACCGTCCTAACATTATTTTTTTAACAGCAAACATGAGTCCCAATTTTTTTTTTAAAATTTTGGATGCTTTTTTCAACCGGTAATAATATTGAAGATTTTTTTTTTATGAGAATAGTATGAATTGCATATGTTTTTGTGTGGAATTCGCTAAATTTTTGATAAATTTAAATAGAGGGATGAAATTGTTAAGTTTTAAATACTTGGAGGATGTTTTTTTGTTAAGAAGGATAATTTAAAGATGTAGTTTAAATTGAGGGTATAGTTTAAGGATGTTTTTAGCCAAAAACTCTAAAATTAGTTGTCTAGTCTAGAAAATCAAGAGATAATTTACCTTTTTGTGTCTATTTTACCATTGTTATTAAATACTCTATCCGCCCGCTTTTAATTGTCATGGTTTCTTTTTTTAGAATTAAATTATAAGAACTTTAACTAACATTTTATGATGTATTTTTTCATCATATTGATATGCAAGAAATTGCAACTTATAGTACTTTTCGTATAGTTTTTGAATATCTAAATTTTTTCTTTAAAATATCGAATTAATATAATCTAATTTAACTTTGAAAATTAATTAAATTGACTTTTGAAAAACGCAACATGATAAATAAAAGTGGACAGAGGTAGTACTACTAATCATCTAACACGTTTCTCAAAGCATTAAATTTAATAAAGTCAAAGGATAAAATAATAATATTGCCCCTATTATTTATTGTTTCTTAAGGGGTGTGTCATATCAATAGTTGACAACTATTGTTGGACAGAAGAAGTATATATTATTGATGAATGGTGAGAGATGTTTCGTGAAACTAATCGAGATGCACACAAATTGATGCGGACACCATGATTGTCATTTTTCTTTAAAAAGTTAAACAAAAATCTTGAGCTCAAACTCATATAATTTAAATCATGAATCCGCTTTTATTTTTGTATATTTACGTCTCAAAATTGATATTGATTTTTTAAATGAGAAGTTTCGAGTGTTGTGGATGCATGAATTTGGTGGTGCCTGCCTGCAAGCTGCCCTAAATGCAATTTGGTAAAATACAGCCATTGGTATCAATAAGTGCAATAATGCATTGAAACAGAGTAGAACTTGCCAATGCATAATGGTAATGAACCATCACCATCTTTTGTGGTCATTCCCCCTCTCTCTCATTACTAGATTATAATTTTTTCTATTTTTCTTTTTAATTTATTTTTAAAAAATTGATACCTTCTCTTTTTTAACAATTTTTTAGTTTCAATTTTTCATACGACATGTATGAATATCTTAAAATATTTGACATATTTATAACTTAAAATCATAAAATTTAATTTATTTTTTTTAAACTCTATGTCAAGTCAAAAATATATTGAAATGGAAGGAATAAGAAAATAATAAAGTTGAGAGTACAGTGGGTGTACCTTGTTCACATGGAGGGGATTGATTTTGCGTTTCCCTTATTGGTTACAATTACAAGTTGTCAATTGTCATTCACAGCCATAACCAAAGTTAGCAATAAAGCTATTTACTTTCTACTTTGCAGCTCTATACTCTAGGACATGGTCCTACCCACCACTTATAACAGACAATGACCTTTCAATTTTGGGCTTCAACGGTTGAGAAAAGGAGGTTAAAGGTGTAAAAAGGGTACCTTTCGAGTAGGGTGTACATAGCCGGGTTAGCTTGAGTTTTTCAAATATCAAATTAAACTATTTATGTCGGATTTTTAAATTTAGAAATCAAATCAAACCAATAAAATTCAGATTTTTCAACTTCGGGGTTTTTCGAATTTTCCGATAAATTATTCATACAAACATATATAATTTACTTGTACTTCAAATATTTATTTAATTCTACCAAAATACAACTATCTAAGGTGTTTCTTAAGAAAAAATAACACAAAATATGATATGATTAATGACACTAAAATATCCAACAAATAATAATAATAATAAAATCGCGTAAAATAAATATTGCAAATTAACAAGTTATAATGAAAATGATCATAATTTAAAAGTACTAAATCATGTTAAAATAAGTTTAATAAGTATTAGTTACATGACTAAATATTAAAGGAAATTAAAATTAGATTATGTATTTTAAGGGGTCGTTTGGTACAAAAATTAATAACGCATGGATTAGTAATGCAAGGACTAGTAGTGCAAGGATTAGTAATGTAGAGTTTATTTTTATCAAGTGTTTGGTTCATTGTTTTCAACCTCATCTTGTGTTTGGATTAAAACTATTTAAAAATCTTATTTCCAATTATATCCTTGAATTATTATGTAATTGGGTCAAGGTAGATAATTGTTGGACAATATTATATTTTTATGGCCTTCTAACTAGCTATGAGAAGAACAATTTTGTTTGTCATGTTTCCTATTTTTCACTTGAATTATTTGAGGATAATAAATTGTCATCTTAATAAATTGATCACTCACAAAATGTCAATTTTCAATTTAAAAAACATAAATCATCTACTTTTAAAATTAAAAAGACGGTCAACAATGGTAAAATTGAATAAACCATGTACATTTACACATAAAAATTGAAAGTTATAGTTTTAAAATGTATGTAATTTTTTAAATTGTTCAAAATACAAATAATTAGAAAACCACGCAAATATATATAAAATCGCAAACGTCATGTAGTAATATATTTGCCTTTTAATTAGTAAATGTTAAATAACTCACATTTCAAATTTGTATTGGATTTATTTAGTAACAAACAACTCTCTCTAAATAATTTGTAAGATAATTTATTTAAATAAATTTACTAGTACAAATATAAAACATAAAATCAAGAAAATAAACAAAAATAATTAAAATGATTTGAGGGATATTTTTGTCTTTACATAGACTTATCCCATGGTATTATATCATATGTATTACTAATACCTCTAAATGGAAGGTATTAGTAATACATCCTATAATACCATCTAGGATGTATAACTAATCCATGAATTAATTATACATAGGCTCAAATTTCTACCAAACATAGTACTAAACAATATCATACATAATACATGAACTATTTCTTTTAATGCGGCCTACCAAATGGCCCCTAATTGTCTAAATCAATGTAAA